AGGAAAATCCTCTTTTTTCCACGTACCCTCACTCGAAACTGTAAGTTCATTCTCCGTATTGCGATTTTATGTATTTTTTTCTTTTTCTTCAACAAATGCTCTTCTTACTACTTCCTCATAAACTGCCTTTGCCGAAGCACACATTTTCGAGACGACAATAATAAGTGTTGATTAAACCTTTACCTATGTCGATTAGTCCACAAACAAGTTGTTGCCTTCTCTGCCGACTCTCAAAAGTCTCATTACAAATACAAGTCGTCGATTAATTTCAAAAACATTGATTATTAGTGGGCATATTACGGTATGTTCATCAACCCTCACTGACACTATCTTATGACGTAAAATCCCAAAACATTATAACATATTGATAATTTAAATAAAAAAATGGTGGCAGCACTTTGCATCAAAGTAATGACTCTATCGCAAATTCTACACTTTATAGCTTCACAAAGGGTCGTAAAAACTGTACAATAGTTTAAAATAGGTAAATTGATGTGAAACAAGAATTTTCATTTTTTGTCAACTTGGTAGCTGACGTACTAGCAAAATTTTATTCTGTCTCTAGCGTATGCCGATTACCGAAACAACAACGTTTTCGCCGTCGATTATGGTGGTCAGGATTGGCCGTACAATCCTTTTTATCCATTTTGAATGATAAAACTTCGCAAAATTGAGCAGCATTTTGATGGCTCTCCTAATCATCTCCTACCAACAAAATCGCTAATTAATATGTTCTTACAGATACGTTCTGTCCCCATGCTCTTACCAACACTGATACATTTGTGCAGATGATTCTGATATTACTTGTAATGTAAGAATGACATTGATTCTTTGTTCTACCATCCCGGCTTGCCCATGTCCACTTTCTCTGCTTGGGGTTTTTGAAAAAGGTGTTACAGGATTTACTTGTTTAGATAATTTGCCAACATTTGTCTACGTAGGTTTCAAGCACCAAGATAATTTCGCATTAGAAACAGAGAAATGCAAATATAAAATCATTGCGGTATCTTATATTTAAATTTTTCTGCTTCTATTGCATTGAATAGGACACCGAGAAAGCTTTCCAACTACTCTTGTTTAGTTTGATCACATTGTAGATAACTCTGTCAAAAATAGATTTGAAGTTGGTTACTAGGTGTCCTATTTTTCTGTTTAAAAGGAAGGCCACGCCTCCTTGGCTAGTTCTATTTTGTGTTTCTTTAGCGTTTCTTTCATACAATGTATAGCCCAATTTCAACAAAGTAGTATTTAAACGTAAATGTTAAGGTACTAAACCTTCACGTATCTCAAAAACTAATTGAGATATCATCATGTAATAACAAGCAATTTAAACAACATTTATTTAGTATTTAATAAATTGAAGAGCATTCCTTAGAATTCTCAAATTCCGGACTTATCATTTTTTGATTGCAACCTTGCATAATTATGTTATATCTGCGCCAAAGCCTGTTTGCCTGTAGAACATTTTCTGCGCAACTGACCGGCCAAGATGGATTTGCAAAGCTGTAGGTGTTAAACAAAAGATTATTGCTTTTCTAAACACTACAGCGATAGCAACGCGATACACTACAGTACCTATTAGTAATACGAATTTACGTATAACCATCGAAACTCAATGCATATGAAAATATAGGGACAATGAACCTCAACGTGAAAAGTGTACACATGCAGCTATACCTACATGTTGATATAGCAATCTTACTGGAGATAAACAAAAAAAGTAAAGAATCCGAAAACTGGGGAACATACATTTATTTCCACTGTGATGTCACAAAGGACTAGAGAACCAAGCAGAGAGTATCTATTGTTATACACAAAAACCTTAGACATACGTAATATGGCTAGTTTGAAAATCCATGTTACAAATTAATAATTTAGTAAAATTGGAAAAATGAAACTTCTTACTTGCTTTTTATATACTTATTTCTTACTTCCTATAAAAAGCATGTAAGAAGTTTCATTTTTCCAATTACAGTTATACTAGGGCATCTGATGAATGAAAAAATCATAAGGATGGATCTAATACATGGATATAAAGTAATCATCATAGAAGTACATGTGGTAAATAAGGACTACCTAAAGATGAATTTTTCGAACGTAAATGGTAAACGTAAAAAACGTAATGGTATATAGTTGAAGAAAGCATACAGATAATGTAGTTGTAAATAATAGACAAAGAAAATAAGAATAACCTGGTTAGATGAAGAATGCAGAAAGGCGACATACAGTACAAAAAGTACATAGGAAGACGAACAAGAGAACGAAAAACAGAATTCAAGAAAGATAGAAAAGATTTGGATAAAATATGCAGAAGCAACAAAAGGAAATGTGACAACGACCTCACTCCAAACGCAGAAGAAGACTTCAGAAATAATTACCAATGAAGGATACAAAACCCAGAAAAAGTATCTGTAGAAACGAAAGGAGTCAAATAAAATGTGACTCTCAAATAATAAAAGACATCTGGAAATAATGTTTCCAAACACTTCTAGCAACGCAAGAAGAAGCTGAAATCAGAGAAGATGTGAATCTGAGAGTTGAGGGGAGATCAAGTATAACAAGACACCAAGAATAGATTAAATACCCTTGGAAATCTATTAACTAGGTGGTGAACAACTTACAAAATCTATCTATTACTAAAATGTCGTAATTATCGCTGAATATATCTCTTCTATGTACATCATAAACCAACGCCTACAAACTCTGGCTAAAATTATAATTTGCGAATATCAAGCGGGATTCAAATGTGGCACGTACACGACGGATCAACTTTTTGTAGTAAAATGAATATTATGTATGAGAGAGAGAGATATTAAGTCTGAGAACATGATATTGTTTAATCCTCTGTCTAATTAGAAAACGGTTCAAGATATCGACGTGTTTCGATCGGCACATGTCGATTTTAGACGTTCTAAACTTATAGTTTTTCCGGAAAATAAGTTAACTTTGTTTTTTTTAATGAAACTCCTTATATGTATATTATAACATTAACTAATAGAGCTAAAAAATTCGAATCCCCACTACCAAATATTTGTTAACTAGTTTTTATGAACCGTTTTGTAATTTGTACTCAAAAATATGATACCCGTGATAGAGATAATCTGGTTCTCTCTCGACATGTCACCTCCACATTTCAAAGAAGTCCCTTTTATGACTTCCCGAGAATTTATAATGGATTACCCCGGTTGATTAGATCTCAGGAGTGCCCCAAACAATTTAAACCTAGCAGGGGGTAGTGATTTTTATTAGTTATAACGTATTATATAATTTACTATTGTATTTTGTTTTATTGTTCTATGAATGCTGATTTGTCACATCTACTGATGTAGCCCACGTGATTGAATAAATATTCTATTCTATTCATGAAGAATAGCATATTGATGATAAAATATGTATATTTTATCATCCATTAAAAACATAGATGGCGCTTCTAAAATGTAATGATAACCATACAAAATATTTCCCCCCTTCATATGATGAAAGTTTTATCTGAAACTTTTTTCCACAAAATTAATGGTTTATGAGTTATAATTAATAAGCATTTTATTGTTTCATTATATTTACAATTTTCCCTTTCCTAATGCATAATATATACCTCCAGATCCTCTACCCTCCTCCCCCCTTTCCACACCTTCGCCTCCTCGCCCCCATCACCTCCCTCATCCATCTTTTGTCCTCGCCCCCCTCTCCCAAAATCTGCTTCCTGTCCATTGCCTCCTCTCTTAGCTCACTACACCCTCTCAGCATGTGTTCCAGCGTCTCCTAATTCTCTCCACACAGCCCACACCAGCTCTCCACATCGTCCGCCCAGTACCTATCCCCCTCTCCTCATTGCCACAGCGAAATCTGGCCACCAATCTCTTCCCTTCGTCATCCCCCTCCATCAACAAATACTTTGGCAGTTCCTCTGTCACTATCTCTCCATACCTTTCATTGTATTTCCCTTCTTTCCTGCCTCTGTATGGCCCTGCCCCTATCTCTCAGTTCTTTCCGCATTTCACCCCTTTCCGCTCTTCTGTTTTCGATCCCAGTTAGTGAGTATCCACTCTTGTATAATATTCCCTTCTTCCCTGTCTCTTTGCCCATAGATCAGCCTCCTCTCATTAATTTCCCTCCAGCACTCTCCCAGGATCTGCAATGCGGTCTTGCTTCTATCATTTCCTCATACTTCACTGCTCTTCTCCCAGCCTCCACCCTTACTGCATCCACCTTAACCTCCTCTTTCACTACATACCCCGGAGTCTCCCTTGCCAACCCTAGTATTTATCTCCAATACCTTGTTTGTAAATCCTCCAGCAAACCTTGTTCTCTCCATCCCCACACTTCTGCGCCGTACATCATTGTACTCCTTATCAAGCGATCAAACATAACCTTTCTTTTTCCCATGTCCCTCCCAAAAGTTCTTTCCCCCCATCCCCAAACCTGTTCGCTCTTTTTGCCATCGCCCTCACGTGCGTCCCGACCTTATTACTTTCCGCGAACCCATATCCCAGGTACGTGTACTCTTTCTTTCTTCCCCCCCTTTGCAGAACTTCATTATCTTTGTTCCTTCCATCACCACCCCACCCATTTGCCCCTTCACAAGTCTCTTTTCCAAGTGGTTTATGAGTTATAAGGTCGTCTCAATTTAAATGCCTCACCCGATATAAAGGTAATCTTAATAATGCACGTTTTTGTTCAACCAATCGTTGCAACATTAGGTAATTGCTATTCCACCGCACTTCTATGTCCTGCAGTAAAGAGCCAGTAGGAAGTCCAACGATTTTGACCACCTGTCAGTTTTCTGGATGCATGATCATCTCTCCATTGCGTTTCCTTCGTCATTATTTTTGCTAGATCCACCAAGCTACATTGTAAGAGATTCGATTGTTATCATTAATGTTTGTCACATCTTTCTTTTTTAACGTAACTTCATTTTCCTTCTCGTCCAATTCTGAAATTGGGACAAAGAAGATGAAACTTCCGTACGCACAAGCTACCGATAAGCCAAGATACGAGAAGTGACGAGCACCAACCGAGACTCGATGAATGAAATTTCGGTTCTTGCCGAAGGTTTGTTCTATTTTTGGCTGAAACAGAAACATTTAGCGAAGCTCATATTTTGGCCACTACATTCAATACTACCTAGTTTACCAATCCATGTTCCGGGTGAAAATGATCTTCAAAAACTTCAAAATAATTTCCAGCAATTTCTCGTGCCCACTTTGCTGATAAGGATTTTTTCCCAAACCTCTAAGCCTTACCATTGTCGAGATACATCCGCTCTGTACCCTTATCAGGATACCCGGTGCAATGGGGATATCATACAAATATAATTTTTTGAAATAAGTCTTTGCAAACTGATCATTTGTTAGATTAATTAATAATAATTATTAAAAGTCGTATTGAACAGTGACTAAAATAAATTGATAACAATTTTTTTAGCCAAGCTCACAATCCTCATATTCGCACAAAACAACACGCAAACCAAAAATATACACAACAACAACAGAAGATATAGTTATTTTCGAAAAAAATCAACCTGTATCTATTGATTTACCACCGGAATTATTTAACAGCGGATTTCAATTAATTACAAACGTTTCAAAGAGAATTGGAGACTTTATGTTGGTAGGTATTTAAAAATTTCACAAAAATAATATTTATATTAAAAAATCGAAAACCTTTTAGGATTCCGGATTTCGCGCTCATCGATTATTAGAGTCAATGAGACCATTCTTTTGGAAAATTTTTGGAAAGAAAGGTTTCGTAATCGAAGCAACAACGGATAAACCAATATTTACAGATCCTAACGAAAAAAACGAAATTAAAAAATAACTTAAAAAATAACAACATCTCTAGATTGGTGGTGCTCAATTTACTATGTATTAAATTTTATATCTTAGGTAGATTAATTGTACAGCAATTTTATGTAAAAGAAAGTTTTAATAGAAATTGTTTTTATTTATTTTTTCTTATACAATTTTGCAAAACGTAATCATAAGAACAACCTTGAATGCACAATGTGGAGAAAACGAGGTCACACGTAACAACAGTCCACAGTCCATTGGTCACACTAATACATCAGTAAGCTTCAAAGCTTCGTACTATGAAGTAGCATCTTTACAAAAACTAGACACCAACATTAACAAGATATTTAAGTCAACCATTTAAAACAAGTAAGTTAAATATTTTTACTAAAATAGATTTTATCACTTCAACGCTAACTGTTACGTAAAAAGTAAACGGAAAACCCAAAGAAAGTAGTGAAAGTGAAAAGTTAACAAACTCTTCGATCTCCTCCTACTATTTTATAATAAATTATATAAGACCATAAAATTATGAAATAAAATTGGGTTTTATTTTTTCAAATTCAATCTAAAAAATCATAATATTTTTTATGAATCTTTGTATTCTTTTAACACGGACATGAAATTATCGTTAAATTTAACATTAAAATACCACCGACAATTTTTAAAGTTGGCTAAACTCACTTTCTACTTCGGTCAAGTGTATTGCGAATGTAATGTGGGTACATAGTCTTTATCCGGAATTCCAGTTGTACACGCGAAAGTGACGAAATGTTTTCTTGATTGGATTTTATCTAATTGTAAGTAAGATGTCGAAAAACTTTTAAAAATGTTTTAATGTTTGTGTTTCTTAATACACTAATGATGTATTTAAAGTTTTCTTTTCTAATTGTAGATTATGAGACATAAATTTATCTTCAAAACGACGTTGTTGTTTTTAATAACGGCAAGCGTGGTTTTATCGTTTGATTCAACATCAAATCAGGAACAAAATAACCAACATAAAATTCAGAAAAGAGCGTCACAAAAACCGGGATTTTTTAAAACGTTATTTTCAGTTATCTATGAGGTTAGTTCTTTTTTAATTAATTATTTTATTTATTTCTTTTATTATTAAAATTGTTTTTTTTTTACTGTTTCTTTAGCAATGGGCTGATACAAAAGACACAGTTAACACAGTGTCGAAAATGGTTAACGAAAATATTATTGACGACAGGGAAGCTGCTGTAAGTATTTCTACTGATTCGTGATAATGATCCATAATTATTTTTCTTTTCTTAATTCTTGTACGATGCAAAAATTTTTTTTGTTTATTAGCAGCAATTATTATTTTTCATTTTTTCTCGAGTGCGTGACTATTGTTTTATTTGTTTAATAATAATATTTTTCGTCTGCACTTAATAATGAAGGGTTAACCATTTCCAGCATCAGTATTGTAGTTAAGATTTGTAATATTTTGATGGGAACAATCTCTCCATTCTACTTATTTTCTTTATGTTTTTCTCACTACCATTCATGTCATCAGTTCTCGTGTTTGCTATTTTTGATAGTTTTTAACAACAAATCGTTCCGGCTATGTACCGCCACTGAAGTATTTTGTATTTGATTTGTGTGTATTACTCTTGTTTGTCTTTCTTCCTCTTTCCCTTAGGAGATTTTTACAGTTTACTATGTTATTTCTTTTTCATTCGTTGTTTTTCCGTAATGGATACAAGTTACTCTTCTATTTCACATTTTTCTTCTTCTTCCTCTACCCCTTTCCTGAAATCCTCTTTTGGGAATACCCTAAATTTTTCCTCTGGGAATATGAGTAATGTGGATGAGGCGGATTCTTACACGGGAATACCTCCGACTAATCTTTTTTGTGGATTTGCTAGCCATATTTCTGTATGTCATATTAATGCCCAGAGTCTTTATGCTCATTTTGATGACTTCTTATATACCGTTGAGTCAAACATATTTGATGTAATCTTGGTTAGTGAAACTTGGTTTAGGCCTTCATTGCCCTCGTCCATGTTTGTCTTACCAGGTTATTGTTTACTAAGAAATGGTCGTGAATATTCCCGGGGTGGTGGGGTTGGGATTTTTATCAGAAATCATTTTCAAAGTAAACTGGTGGAATGGAATTCTTATTGATTGAGGTTAAGTGTCGTTGTGATAGGTTACTACTGGGTGTGTTCTACTGTCCCCCAGGAATGAATTATTTCGACTATTTTGAAGACCTCCTGGAGAGGCATGGAATTAATTATGATAGTATTCTGTTAATGGGGGATTTTAACACATGTATTCTGAAAAATGATACGCGTAGTGAAAAACTTCGATTTATTACAACATCCTTAAACCTAACTATATTACCCTCCCAACCTACGCATTGCCTGCCATTGTCATAATCTCTTCTTGATCTCATCATTACGTCCTGTCCAGATAAAATTTTAACACATTGTCAATTACCTGCTGAACAGTTTTCTTGTCATGAACTGATTTATTGTGCTGTTCAAGTTCGGCAGCCTGTCTCTTCTCATTGCATGTTCATTTACCGTGATTTTAGACACATTGATTATGAACAGCTCAAATCTGATGCATTGCTGGTTGATTGGCAGCCATTGTATTGTATGAGTGACATTGACTTAAAAGTTAGTTAGTTTAATGACAAAATTACATGTTTGTATAATAAACATGCCCCGCTTAAGCAGAGAAAAGTAAAGCATCTCCGTGCCCCCTGGCTACATGATGAGATTAGAGACCTTATGCGTGAACGAAACAGATCTAAAATGCTTCTTAAACGCAATTAATCGAATATTAACTATGAAAGGTATCGTTTACTGCGTAATCGCTGTAATCATAGTGTAGTCATCATGTAAAAATGCGAAGAAAGCATATTTTTACCAGAAATTGGCTGGGACTACTCCTAAGACGTTCTGGAAAACTTTAAGGTCTCTTGGTGTCATTGACTCTGCTCCTACACAAGGTGTTGTGGACGGAAATTCTTTAGCGAGCCATTTCGCTAAACCACCAGTAACTCTTAATACTGCTTCCAAAATCACCTTAATT